CACACCAAATACGGTTAAGTCAAATGGTGTTTATATAACTATTAACTGGTGAATGATTAGACAATAACTTTGTATATAATAACAGATTAACATAGAGCTAACAACAGTTGTGCTCACAGACACACCAACTGACAGAGAGTAACTGAATAACTGTCACTCTTAGAATCTCTGTGTATGACCAAGACAGTCGCAACAGCCAATCAGAGTTCAGGCTGCCTCACACAGATAAGACTGACAGAGCCTCTCAGTACACGCCCACATCTCTCAAGCTTGTATCCTCAAGTAGTTTGCAGGCGCAACCTAACTTTATACATGTAAACATTATCTCTGCACTTGTGCCTCTACATTCATATTCTGACAAGTTCCTACCAGGCAGTAGGTGATGGTAAAGACTTCTGCCTGAGACCCTGAATGGACAAGACCGAACTCAATGGACCGGTGGTCTGATTCAGTATAAGACAGCTTTATGTGTGATTCTTCCAATGATACCTTCTGCCCCCACACCATTATCTGACCAGAAAAGTAGCCGATTTCCTTGAACCCCTGCAAATTAATTTGAGAAAGATCCTAGGTTACCAGCACTGTTTGTCCCCAGAAAAATCCCCAGAATGGCAGTCACATAATATCACCCTAGTACAGTGGTGGCGAACCTATGGCACGGGTGCCAGAGGTGGCACTCAGAGCCCTCTCTGTGGGCACGCGTGCCATCGCCCCAGCCAGGCCCAGACCATCATTAAAGTGTCGAATTCTCTGCCAAATACTTTTAAGTAAATGAAAGCATTTGGGATTGCTTTCCTTACTTTGTTTGGATCATCTTAAATTAATGTATGAGTTGTTTTTTCTAAAGTAAAAGCTCAGTATTCAGGTTAAATTTTCGTGTTGGCACTTTGTGATAAATAAGTGGGTTTTGGGTCACAGTTTGGGCACTCGGTCTCTAAAAGGTTCGCCATCACTGCCGTAGTAGAACCAGCTACGCCCTGACCTGATCTCGTAACATCTCGGAAGCTAAGCAGGGTCGGCCCTGGTTAGTACTTGGATGGGAGACCACCAAGGAAGTCGGGGGTCGCTTCAGAGGCAGGCAGTGGCAAACCACTTCTTGAAAGTCTCTTTGCTTCGAAAACCCCGTGGGGGCACCCTAAGCCAACTATGACTTCAGGGCAAAAAAAATTAACCAAGTTGATGGGGGGGGGCACATGTGACATCAAAAACGCTTGTTAAAATAAATGTCTTTTACTTAAAGAATAAAACTGAAGAGAGCTTGAATGGAGACATATGTGCGAAGAACTTCTCCAAAAATACTTTCCTCCCTTTCTCAAAATACTAGAACTGGAGTACATCCAATGAAGCTGATGGGCAGTAGATGCAGGACAAGCAAAAGGAATGTGGAATCTGCTGTCAGAGGCTGTAGTGATGGCCACAGGAATAAACAGCTTTAAAAGGGGATTAGAGAGATTCATGGAGAAGTCTATCAGTGGCCACCATCCATGGTGACTAAAGGGAAACCTCCACATTCAGAGGCAGTCTACCTCTGAATCCCAGTGCCAGGAAGCAGCATCAGGAAAAGGCCTCAGTCTCTCTGACCTCCAGAGGAAGTGGCTGGCCACTGTGTGGGACAAGATGTTGGACTAGATGTACACATGAGGCTGCCTTATACCGAGTCAGTCCATCAAGGTCAATATTGTCTACTCGGACTGACAGCAGCTGTCTGGGGTCCCAGGCAGAGATCTTTCACATCACATCCTGTGTGATCCTTTTAACTGGAGATGCCCTGGAGCCTTCTGCGTGCCAGCAGGGCCGGCCCCAGCTTATTTTGCACCCTAGGCAAGGATCCCTTCTGCGCCCCCCCCCTCCCCATGCGCCCACCAATTAAAAAAAATAAATGCATTTTAGGAAGAATGAAAAACACAAATAATCAAGAAACTTCCAGACTATGGGGCTGGGTTCAGTTTGGCGCCCCTAAGGGCCGTCCCGCTCCAGGCGATCGCCTAGTTCGCCTAGTGAGTGAGCCGGCCCTGCGTGCCAGGCAGATGCTCTACCACTGAGCCACAGCCCGTCTGGTCTGATCCAGAAGGGCTCTTTTTATGCTCTTAACCTGGAAAGAAATTCTTCTTGAAAAGGTGGGGGCGGCTCACCCGGGACGGAGGACATGGGTGCTGGATTTGCAGCCTGACTCGCCTGCAGGTTGAGGAAGAAAGGTGTGGTCAGGGAAGGTGTGGAACTAGCTCGGATAAGGCAAAAATGAAGGGCTGCCCATCTGTCTAGCAGACGATTCGGAAGGAGGAGGACTGGGAACGTCAGTTTGGCTTTCCAGTTGTTCCCCATTTGTTTTTGTTTTTTCAGTGACTCCATCAGTGTTCCCATGATCCCCCTGGGGCTGAAGGAGACCAAGGAACTGGATCTAGCAGGACCCTTGCAGGTAAGAGAACCCTCTGCTGACTGGGGTGTGGGATGACGCACCCTTCTTAGGGGAAGCTGATACGAGGCACCAGGCAGCGGCAGTCATTTGAGGCGTGACAGATTTTCTTGCAGCGCGGTGAAAGGGGCAATCTCTGCGTCAGGGAATATTAGGAAAGGGATTGAGAATAAGCTGTCTGATATTGTAATGCCCTTGTACAACTAAGGGTGGGGGGACGTGTTTGTAAAATTACGCACAGGGGGGAGAGAGTTCCCCCTTTCCCAAAAGACTAGAACGTGAGGGCGTCCAATGAAACTGTTGGGCAGTAGGTTCAGGACAGACAAAAGTTACGAGTGATCAAAATGCGGGATTTGCTGTGATGGCCACAGGAATAAACAGCTTTAAAAGGGGTTTAGATTCATTCTATCAATGACTATTCACTGTGGTGACTGAGGGGGAACCTCCACATTCAGAGGCACTAAGCCCCTGAAACCCAGAGCTAGGAGGCAACCTCACGGGAAGGCCTCGGCCTCTCTGCCCTGTTCTTAGCCCTCCAGAGGACCTGGTTGGCCTCTGTGTGAGACAGGATGCTGGACTAGATGGACCCTCACTGGTCCGATCCAGCAGGGCTCTTCTGATGTTCTTCTCAGGGGAAGGCCTTGGCCTCTCTGCCCTGTTCTTGGCCCTCCGGAGGAACTGGTTGGCCCCTGTGTGAGACAGGATACTGGACTAGACGGACCCTCCCTGGTCTGACCCAGCAGGGCTCTTCTGAGGTTCTCATCAGGGGAAGGCCTTGGCCTCTCTGCCCTGTTCTTGGCCCTCCAGAGGAACTGTTTAGCCGCTGTGTGAGACAGGAGGCTGGACTAGATGGACCCTCACTGGTCCGATCCAGCAGGGCTCTTCTCATGTTCTTATGTAATACCCAGATACTATTTTGCACATGCCAAGGCACAAAGCACAAGGAGCTGCGGTGGCTCAAGTGGTTTAGACGCTGAACTGCAGGCTGCGGAAGGTCGGTAGTTCAGCAGACCCGAGTGCCGCATGACGGAGTGAGCTCCCGTCTCTAGTTCCAGCTCCTGCCAACCTAGCAGTTCGAAAGCAAGAAATTGCAAGTAGATTAATAGGTACCACTTCAGTGGGAAGGTAACAGCGTTGCGTGCGCCTTGGTGTTTAGTCATGCTGGCCACATGACCACAGAAATGTCTTCGGACAGCGCTGGCTCTTCGGCTTTGAAACGGAGATGAGCACCGCAACCCTGGAGTCGGATTCGACTGGCTTTCGAGCAAGGGAACCTTTACCTTTTAAGGCACCTTCATTCAGGCGCAAGGGTTGCATACAGTTCAGGGTCACCAAGGTTTGGTCTTTCTCTGTTGCCTTCAGCTGGTTTCTAGTTTACAAACATGGACACCTGCCATTTCTTTGCCAACCCTTTGACTTGCCACAAAACCCAATGGGTTGGATCCCACATGGTATGCTAGGGAAACAATGGCACTTTCTTCTGGCACACAGATCCTTCCCTTGTGCAAGAGGCACAGAGCGTCTGGTGTGAGCGGACGGTGCTGTGTGTCAGCTGCAGGTGTCACTTGCCCCTAGCAGGGCAGGTCTGTGAGATCCAACCCAGTACTCTCCAAAACCTCCCATGCTGAGCTTGGTTTGTGTATGTATTGGTTAGCTTATTATCTGAAATATTTATACCTGGGCTGTACTTTAATGAGGCACATTCAGCATGGTAAATCAAAAGCACATTCACTTAGAATCATAGAGTTGGAACAGGGAGCTCCAGGGTCATCTAGCCCAACCCCCTGCACAAAACAGGAAACTCACAAATACCTCCCCACCCCCAGTGGCTCCTGTGCCACACCCAGAAGATGGCAAAAAGCCCTCCAGGATCCCTGGGGGCCAAACTGGCCTGGAGAAAAATTCCTTTCTGACCCCAAAGTGGCGATCAGCATTTCCCTGGGCGTGTCAGAAAGGGCCACGAGAACTAAGCACTGAAGCAACCCTCCCTCTCATGAACTGCCCGAGTTCACAGAATCCGCATTGCTGTCAGACGGCCATCCAGCCTCTGCTTGGAAACCTCCTGAGAAGGAGAGCCCACCACCTCCCGAGGAAGCCTGTTCCACTGAGGAACCGCTGCAAATGTCAGGAAGTTCTTCCTAATGTTTAGCCGAAAACTCTTCTGATTCGATTTCAACCCGTTGGTTCCGGTCCAACTTCCTGGGGCAACAGAAAACAACTCCATACCATCCTCAGTTTAAATCGGTTTTAAAAATCAGTTTTAAAAAATCCCGCTCATGAAGACCAAAAAGGTCACTGTATCCCATTGTAAAACACAAATTTGTACGGCCTGATATTGGAGAGTCCTAGGTCAGGAGAGGGACAAATATACCCCGGCTGATCTCAGAGCCCCAGCAGGGTCGGTCCTGGTTAGTACTTATAATGGGAGACGACCAGGGGGAGTCCAGGGTCACTCCGCAGAAGCAGGCCATGGCGAACCACCTCTGAACATCTCTTGCCTTAAAAGCCCTCTGGAGTTGCCGTAAGTCGGCTGTGACTTGACGGAGCATTCCACCACTACTGGGCCAGGAGGAGTGTTACCTGACGCTGCCACCACTCTGGTTCCAAGCTCCCTTGAGAAGGCCCAGAGCACCCTCCCAAGACCTTCAGACCTCCCTTTTGGCCGAATAACAGGCGTGAGGACCAGGCAGACTGTCCTCAACTCCCAGCTCTGTGGAGTTACTTCCTGAAAGGACCGGGAGTCGTGGGGAACCTTGGCAAAAAAAAATGGCAGGCTAAAAAGGGACGTGATTCTAACCCAGAGCTCTAGTCCACCGGCCCTCCTGCTACAGCAGAACCTCGTCAGTCTTTAGAGGTGCCACAAGTTTCAGGTTTGTTTTCGCCGCAACCTGCTTGGCGTGGCCACCCCTCCTGTCACGGCTCAGGTGGGGTGTCACCTGATGCTGCCACCACTCTGGTTCCAGGCTCCCTTGAGAAGGCCCAGAGCACCCTCCCAAGACCTTCTGACCTCCCTTTTGGACAAATAACAGGCGTGAGGACCAGGCAGAGTGAACAATGAAAATAGTTTATTTTATAGGAGGTCAAACAAACAAGATGCAGAATAATAACAGTAAGTGGGTGAAAAAAAAGACATCAAATGCCCTAATGCGTCTAAATATACTGTCCCTAGCTCACTATCTGCAGTGGCCTTAGACTACTCACCCTTCTCTCAGGATGAGGGTTTCTTCCCTGCAGCAGCCTTCCTTCTGGCTCTGCCCTCTGGGAAGAAGAACAGCTTTTCCTGCTGCTCCAGATCTTTTATTCCAAGCCCCTCCTCTTTTCCTATTGGTCAATTTTGGCTCCAAAACCTCTCAGGGGATTCTGGGAGTTGTAGGCCCAGCCAGGCTCCCTGGGCCTAGTAGGCCTCCGGTGGCACAGCCCAGATCATGACAAGGAGTATCAAAGCACTTTCAAGGGTTCCCATTTCTGGCTATTTCTGTAGCCCACAAAGATCTTTGTAGCAACCCAGAGGGGGAGGCGTTGGCAGCCTCCTGCTGTGACTCCCCTGCACTTGCCCGTGGCAATTCAAGCCGCAGCTGTGCTTGTGAGCTAAGGGGCATGTGCTCTTCTAAAAAAATATCTTTCTTGTCCTATGGAAAAGGGGTGGGACGAAAGATCTGAGTGAAATTCCCGACTTCCTCCGCCTTCTCTTCCCCCTCCCCTTCATTTGTGCCCTCCTAGGAGATGATCCGGGACCACTATGGCGAGGACGGTGCCTTGTACGAGGCTGAGATCAAAGAGTTTGTGGAGCTGCGGCAAGTAAGTGGGCCTTTCCTTTTCTTAGGAGGGAAACGATCATGCTCAGGATTCTGGTTCGTCCTTGTACCAACGGAACACGCGGGCCTCTTTCCACATTCCCCCCCCCCAAGATGTGCACTCGTATCTTTTCTTCCCACTTGCAAACCATCCACATGCTGCCTATCGTTGTTATAATTAATTTTATTTTCAAAATTTATTTAAAATGTTTATCAGCTGTCTTTTCTGCCCTGCAGAGATCATGGTAGCTGACAATCTTTTTTTTTTTGTTAAGTAAATTTTGATTGGAAATTGAAAACTTATGACAATCAGAACATCAGATATCTGAATTAGAACAACAATGCAATATTTCACCAACAGCACCTTAATGTCAGACTTCTGGAGAAATCGGTTCCCAACAACAGTCATTCTAAAGAATGGAAAGTTCATTGAGACATTGATAGTATCCAGACTCTTAACATTTCTGTGTTAGAACTGGGGGAAAGCACGCAAAACCCTAATGGCCTGGGGCCAATGACACCTAAGCTAGGAAATAATGGTCCATAGTTCCTAGGCGAAGGATGATGCCAGGTGTGACTGGGGCTCAAGGTTACTTGTCTGGGCCGAATAAGATAACGAAAGCAACAGCGAAGTGGCGAAAGGAGACATTCTTCCCACTCCCCTAACTTCCCATGGCAACCAAGCCTGAGAAAGTGGGCAAAGTTGACACTTAAGACAACAATCTTTAAACAAAACCCATAAGCAGTAATCATACAAAACAAATGCAACTATTACCAAACGTTTATAGGAGAAGGCAGTCTAAATACCCTAACTTTAGAGCTAAAAAGCAAACAGGAATATAGAAGAGTGTGAATATAGGACTTCTATTCGACATTACTTCAGAGGAGAGACAATATATAGTGGTACTGGTGTTCCAAACCATGTTTGGATCTGACAATTTGGTGAGAGCCAGTTTGGTGTCGTGGTTGAGTGTGCGGACTCTAATCTGGGAGGACCAAGTTTGATTCCCCACTCCTCCACTTGCACCTGGCTGGATGTCCTTGGGCAAGCCGTAGTTCTGATAAAAGCTGTTCTTGAAAAAGAGCAGTTTCTGTCAAGAGTCTCTCAGCCTCACCTACCTCACAGGGTGTCTGTTGCGGGGAGGGGAAGGGGAAAGAGTTTGTCAGCCGCTCTGAGACACCTTTGGGTAGTGAAGGGTGGGGTATACATCCAATATCTTCTTCTTCTAACTAAAACAACCATTGTAAAAAATGCATAAGAAGCTTTTTGACTGTGTGGCTGTTTCCACTTCTGTGGCTGAATGCCCTCTCTCTCCCTCATCCTTCCTGGCTCCCTCTTTCTCGTCCCAAACAGGCCATGCGAACACCTAGCCGAAATGAGGCAGGCCTGGAGCTGCTCAGGGAATACTACAGTCAACTTTACTTCCTGGACAACCGTTTCTTCCCCCCCAATAAGAACTTGGGGGTCTTCTTTCACTGGTTAGTAAGGCCGCCTTGTTCGCGCTTCAGGAGCGAGTGTTTGTGTTTAATTTAATTTAGTTAAAATCTGGCTTTATATACAGTGCAAAGAAATCTGACGACGGTTTTACATCCCACAGTGAGTCAAGCGAGTGTTTTTTTATTTCTGTCGATGGGAACAAATTGTGCCCAGGCTTCCAATGCCAGCTGCACTGACAGTTTGGGTTTCATCAGAGCATAAGACAAGCCAATGTTGGATCAGGCCAATGGCCCATCCAGTCCAACACTCTGTGTCACACAGTGGACAAACCCCAGGGGCCACCAGGAGGTCCACCAACGGGACCAGAGCTCCAGAAGCCCTCCCATTGTGGCCCCCCAAGCACCGGGAAGACAGAGCATCACTGCCCCAGACATAAGAACATGAGAAGCCATCTTGGATCAGGCCAGTGACCCATCCAGTCCAACACTCTGTGTCACACAGTGGTCTAAACCCAGGGGCCATCAGGAGGTCCACCAGTGGGGCCAGAACTCCCGAAGCCCTCCCATTGTGGCCCCCCAAATGCCAAGAGCTTCCCTCCCCAGGATAGAGTGTTCTGTCTGTACCTTCTGGCTAATAGCCACTGATGGACCTCAGCTCCGTATGTTTATCCAGTCCCCTCTGAAAGCTGTCTGCCCTTGTGGCCGCCACCGCTTCCTGCAGCGGTGAATTCCACGTGTTAACGACTCTTTGGGAAAAGAAGTACACTCCAAACATGGCTGTAGAAAATCCAGAGTGTGTTTTGGGTCCCATGAGGGGGGGGAGTGTTTGTGTAGCAGGCTAGGGAAGCTCCATAACCTGGAGACTTTCAGAGGATGTGTGTAAAGCACCCTCAAGTCGCAGCCAACCTTCGGCGACCCCAGCAAGGTGCTTTCCCGGCAAGGGAGAAGCAGAGGTGGTTGGCCGTCGCCTTCCTCTGCAGAGCCTTCCTTGCTGGTCTCCTATGCAAGTACTAACCCTGCTTAACTTCGACCAGCAACAGGCTTTCAAGGCAAATGAGAAGCAGAGGTGGTTTGCCATTGCCTTCCTCTGCAGAGCCTTCCTTGGTGGTGTGCCTTGCAAGCACTGACCTTTCTTAGCTTCCCCCGGCAAGGGAGGAGCAGAGGTGGTTGGCCATTGCCTTCCTCTACAGAGTCTTCCTTGGTGGTCTCCCGTCCAAGTAAAACAGGAGGAAGAAGAAGAGATTGGATTGATACCCCGCCCTTCACTACCCGAAGGAGTCTCAGAGCGGTTTACAGTCTCCTTTCCCTTCCCCTCCCCACAACAGACACCCTGTGAGGTCGGTGGGGCTGAGAAAGCTCTTTCGAGAACTGCCCTTGAGAGAACAGCTCTGAGAGAACTTGTGATTGACCCAAGGTCACACCAGCAGCTGCATGTGGCGGAGTGGGGAATCAAACCCTGGTTTCCCCAGATTAGAGTCCGTGCTCCTAATCACTACACCAAACTGACCCTGCTTAGCTTCCCAGACCTGACGGGCTACACCGTGCCATGTTCCCTCATAGCGTCTTAGAGGCCAACAAGATTTTCGGCGTATAACCTTCCGAGAGTCTGACGGAGGGAGCTTTGACTCTTGAACGTTTACACCCCTTATTGGTCTCTGAGGTGCTCCTGGACTTGAATCTAGCTCCGTAACCTGGAGCACAACAGCCAGGCAGAGCGGACCCGAGAGAGCCAATGGGTGTAACTCAGAAGGCGACGGCTGTCCAGGTTTTTGCACGAGCCCCATTGGGTTGGATCCGACAGATCCGTTCTGCCTGCAGAGGCTCTTTCTCCCAGTGCAAGGGGTTTTCTTCGCATGTAAGAGGCTCAGGAGAAAGCACTGCTCCTAGTGGGACAGATCTGCGGGTTCATCAGTGCCCAAGGATTGCTGTGGCAAACCGGCAGTGTTCCCTCTAAGCTGAGCTACTTTGTGAGTTTTTTAGCCTCTGGCTCACACATTATTGTCTCTGCTCAGGAAGGAGGGCTCCAGAGCAAACCAATTTATGCAGCAACCAAATCGCTCGCTCGCAACTTTAACGCCAGTAGCTCACAAAGTAGAGTTTTTGCTCACAAGACTACACAGCTTAGAGGGAACATTGCAAATCGGTGCTGCTACTTCACTTAGAAGTCTTGGTGCAACTCTTGAGTGAATTCTGTTTCCCCTGTCACACCCCTGTAGACAGTCATGTGATTGTTTGGTGTAGTGGTTAGGAGCGCGGACTCTAATCTGAGAGAACCGGGTTTGATTCCCCACTTCTCCACATGCAACCAGCTGGGTGACCTTGGGCAAGCCACAGTTCTCTCAGAGTAATTCCCTCAAGAGAAGTCCTCGAAAGAGCTCTCTCAGCCCCACCTGCCTCACAGGGTGTCTGTTGTGGGGAGGGGGAGGGAAAGGAGATTGTGAGCTGCTCTGCGACTCCGAGTGAAGGGCCGGGTATAAATCCAATCTCCTCCTCCTTTTTCTTCTTCTCATTTTTCTTGTTCTCCTTCTTCTCCCCAGTCCCCTCCACCTCCCCATTCCTGACATTGTCATTCATTGAAATACAGAAATAGAACCTGGGACTGGCAATCGGCTTTTTGTCCTTGGCTCAGCCCCCTGACCCATTAGAGAGAAGCAAACAGGACTTGGGGGGCGTGCATGCCAGATGAGGTTGACGCAGGTGTGTCAGTCCCATTCTCTCTCATTGTGCAGTAGCTCCGCCATCTCATTTTTGACAGCTGAGAGAGTTAAATATCTGCTTTCCCCACCCAAATCTTCTCTGGGCGGGGGGCGGCGGGGGAGAGGATTGGCTTCCCATTTGCTATGCGTTGTTCAGCAGACCTCCCTCTCGACAGGTATGACTCGCTGACCGGGGTCCCTTCACACCAGCGAGCGCTGGCCTTCGAGAAGGGGAGCGTCCTCTTCAACATCGGAGCACTGCACACCCAGATTGGAGCACGGCAGGATCGTACCACCTTGCAGGGCGTGGACTGCGCCATCGATGCGTTCCAGAAGGCAGCTGGTATGACAGCCGTTCCAGCGGGGGTGGGAATGGTAGTATAACACTGTAACCGTGCATACTCGACCTGCGTTTGGTTGCTTTGATTTACTCAGGAGAATCAGCTTCACTGGGTAGCGGCGTGTGTGAACAAGATCTTGGGGTACAGGCGGACCGTGTGTTAAATATGAGCAGCCAGTGTGATGCGGCGACAAAAAAGGCTAATGCGATCTTGGGGTGTGTCAACAGAGACATAACATCCAAATCATAAGATGTCCTAGTCCCGCTAATCAGGCCGCACTTGTAGCATTGTGTGCAGTTCTGGAGGCCTCACTTCAGAAAGGACATCGACAGAATGGAGCTGATGCAGAGGAGAGCGACGCAGCCCTACGAGGAAAGGCTGAGGGACTTGGGGATGTTCAGTTGGGAGAAGAGGAAGTTGAGGGGGGACAGGATGGCTCCCTTGAAGTATTTGAAGGGCTGTCACTTAGAGGAGGGCAGGGAGCTGTTGGCAGCAGAGGAGAGGACTCGCAAGAATGGGAGCGGTGGCGCAGGCAGTTCAATGCCTGCATTAACAACACTAGTGAACAGCCACTATGGCTGTTCGAGACCCACCGCAGCCAGGGTGAGCTCCCGGCCCAAGTCCCAGCTCCCGCCCACCCAGCGGCTCGAAAGCGTAACCGCAAGTAGACAAATGGGTACCTGCCCTAGGTTGGCAGGGGGCACCCTCCTCCTGATGGTGTGTGTCAGGAGTTTTGGCGGCGGCGGCAGCGATACGGCAGTGGAGCAGAGGCGACCTGTGGATACGGCGGCAACGGAGACCGGATGGAGGCGGAGCTACGGCAGCGGGATGGCGGCGTGATGGTGTGACGATGCAGCGTGGCGGAGCCTAAGGGTCAAAGGCCGGAACTGCAATCAGGAGCTGCCGCGCACCGGAGGAGTCCATCAGGAGCCTGCCGCTGGAGTCCCTTCCCAAACTCCGCCTTCCTCATGCTCCATCCCCAAACCTCTTAAGCATTTCCCAAGCCGGCGTTCAGAAAGCGGAGTGGGAAAAGTGGATTGAGGGGGGAAATTTTCTCCCTTTCCCACATTACTAGAACTTGGGATTGGCTAATGAAATACACGAACAGTAGACTCAAGGACGTTCTTCACACTGAGCACTGTTAACTTGTGGAACTCACTGCCACAGTGTGGCCACTGCCTAAGTGATGGTCACTTAGGGTTGGCAGCTCTGGGTTCGGGGAATTTCTGGCAATTTGGGGGTGGAGTCTTAGGAGGGCAGATTCAGCGGGATGTAATTCCACGGAGACCAACGTCCCCTCTAAGCTGTGGAGTCTTGTGAGCAAAAAATCTACTTTTTGAGCTACTTGGCGTTAAAGCTGTGAGCGAGCAATTTGGCTACTGCATAAATGAGTTTGCTCTGGAGCCCTCCTTTCTGAGCGAAGGCAAAAATGTGTGAGCCGGAGGCTAAAAAACTGAGCTAGCTCACACTGACTCGGCTTAGAGGGAACACTAGTTACAACCAATGCTCCCTCTAAGCTATGGAGTCTTGTGAGCAAAAATTCTACTCTGTGAGCTACTGGCATTAAAGTGGTGAGTGAGTGATTTGGCTACTGCATAAATGAGTTTGCTCTGGAGCCCTCCTTCCTGAGCGAAGGCAAAAATGTGTGAGCCGGAGGCTAAAAAAACTGTGAGCTTGCTCACACTAGCTCAGCTTAGAGGGAACACTGGAGCCCACCCCAGTGCTGTGCAGTACTTACCCGACGGACGGATCCAGCCTGTGACACCCCTCCCGTCTCTCTTGCAGGAGCCTTCAACTACCTGAAGGAGAACTTCTCCAACGCTCCCAGCCTGGACATGAGCGCCCCGTCCTTGAACATGCTGGTGCACCTGATGATCGCGCAAGTGCAGGAGTGCGTCTTTGAGAAGGCCCTCCTCCTCCGGGCCCAGAGCGACTTCCTCACCTGCCTGCAGCTGGCGCAGGAAGCTGCCAGGGTAACCGTTCTTCTTATTGCTATTAATTAAATTTCTGGATCGACCAGCCCCGAGGACACAGGGGTCTGGGCGATTTGCAACAGATTATAAACCCAATGCCGAAATACAGATTAAAGTCAACCAATCAGTTATTCTTAGTTTAATAGTCTCCAGATGGTGTCCATAATTTAACCCAAAACCGACTCTCTCGACCAGAGTTCCCTCTAAGCTGAGTGAGTGTGAGCTAGCTCACAGTTTTTTTACCCCCTGGCTCACACATTTCTGTCTTCGCTCAGGAAGGATGGGGCTCCAGAGCAAACTAATTTATGCAGTATCCCAATCGCTCGCTCACCACTTTAAGGCCAGTAGCTCACAAAGTAGAATTTTTGCTCACAAGACTCCACAGCTTAGAGGGAGCATTGAAGGGGACTGAAAACAGATCAGCCAGTATTGTCATGCCCCGATATAAATCTGTGGTGTGGCCTCATTTGGAGTCCTGTGTACAGTCCTGGTCACCGCACCCCAAAAGATATGATAGCATCGGAAAAGGTGCAGAAAAGGGCAACTAGAATGAGTAAGGGGTTGGAACACTTTCCCTATGAAGAAAGGTTAAAGTGCTTGGGGCTCTTTAGCTTGGAGGTACGACGGCTGAGGGGTGACATGATCGAGGTTTCCAAGATTAGGCATGGGATAGAGAAGGTGGAGAAAGAAGTCTTTTTTTCCCTTTCTCACAATACGAGAACTTGTGGGAACGCCATGAAATTAATGAGCAGTAGACTTAGAACAAAAGGAGCTGCGGTGGCTCAAGTGGTTAAGATGCTGAACTGCAGGCTGTGGAAGGTCGGTAGTTCAGCAGTTTGAGACCTGAGTGTGCCACATGACGGAGTGAGCTCCCGTCTCTAGTTCCAGCTCCTGCCAACCTAGCAGTTCGAACGCAAGTAATTGCAAGTAGATAAATAGGTACCACTTTGGTGGGAAGGTAACAGCGTTCTGTGCGCCTTGATGTTTAGTCATGCCGCCCACATGACCCCGGAAACGTCTTCGGACAGCGCTAGCTCTTCTGCTTGGAAACGGAGATGAGCACCGCAACCCTAGAGTCGGATTTGACTGGCTTTTAAGCAAGGGAACCTTTACCTTTTTAGACTTAGAACAGATCAAAGGAAGTCCTTCTTCACCCAAAGAGTCATTGACATGTGGAATTCACTGCTGCATGAAGTGGTGGCGGCTACAAGCTTCAAGAGGGGATTAGATGAAGATGTGGAGCAGAGGTCCACCTGTGGCTATTAGCCACAAGGTAGAGATGGAACACTCCGTCTGGGGCAGTGATTCTCTGTATTCTTGGTGCTTTGGGAGGGCCACAGCTGGAGGGCTTCTGCAGTCTTGGCCCCGCTGGTGGACCTCCTGATGGCACCTGGGTTTTGGCCACTGTGTGCCACAGAGTGTTGGACTGGATGGGCCATTGGCCTGATCCAACATTGGCTTCTGTTCTTATTAACTGCCGTAGAGCACCCGCTTCCCTGGCACTCTTGAGAGGGAGCCAGTGTTGGCCCATGTTTTTAACTTGTTACCTGCCCTGAGAACTTGCGGCGCAGGAGAGGAGGGCTAAAAGTTTAAATATATTAATAACGAAACAGACGTGGGTCTGCTCTCTGCTTCCTGTGGCCCACGCCAGCCGACCATGACTCCTCCGCGTCCTCGGTCATGCCTTTGGGGGAAGAAGCCCCCTGCTCACCCACAGCTCTTTCCTGTCCTTGTTCCCCCTCCCCCCCCCCAGGTGGACGAGGTGTACTCTCTGGTGTATCAGACCACGACCCAGCCCCACATGAAGGACTACGTCCCGTTCTCATGGACCACCATGGTGCACGTCAAGGCGGAGCACTTCAAGGCCCTCTCCCACTACTACGCTACCATCGCCCTTTGCGACTGCCCACGTGAGTACCCCGGCACCCCGACAGGCAGGAGGGGGCTCCTGCTCCGTCTTCAAGCACTGGGTTTTGCCTTCAGGGGAGCCCGGGTTCAGTCCCAAGTGGGCAGGGGTCTCCAGGGACAGGGCCAAGTCCTTGGCAGCCTCTGGCAGCCAATTCCACATTTTAATCCCTCTCCTAAGCGGAGCTCCGCCTTGATTATTTCATTGTCTTCAGTGGGCTTAGAAAGGTGTGACTCTGCTGAGCATCTCTGCGAAGGGTCTCCCCGGAAGACCCCTGTTCTGGGATAGGGAGGACACGGGCTTCTTCCACTGCGTTTGGCCACCTTCCGTCTCTTCCCCCGAGTTAAGCCTCTTCTTGGATGTGTTCTGTGCAGCTGCGTCCGAAGTGGATCTCCCAGACCACGAGAAAGCGTTCCTCCAGTTCCACGTCAGCGAGCCGGAGGGGCCGGCCCCCTGCCAGCTTTTACAAGACCCAGAGGAGCGAAGGAAACTGGGTAAGTGCTCTGCCAGGGCGCCCTCTCCTGCGGGAGCGCACAGGAGCGGCGCTCTGGCAGTAAGGAATCCAGGGAGCGGGCACATGCAACAAGCCCCGCCCTCTGCTCCCAACAGCCCTCAGTCAAGCCACGAGGAGCAAGAAGCCCCCCCCC